AAAAACTGATAATCATGTGCCTGGGGGCCCGTGCTGCCTTACTATGCAATACCTTCATCTAACTGGCGCCCTTTCTCCTGCATGCCAAAAGAGGCCAAAATACGGCCAATATGAGCCCAAGTGTTAGGCTACGGCACAGGGGCCATTCCTGCTATTAGCGATCTGCTAGTTTAGTGCAAAGATGCGTGATCACACCGACAAGTTTGGTGTATCCCAGTCTGGTCTTTATTTTCACTCGCAGCTTCACACTTTTTTTTTTTTTTTGATTTTGCTTTCATTTCTACGCCCAGCTTTGCTTTAATTTAATTTTTCTTGTAGTGCTTTGTTTTTTCTTTCTCTTTACTACTCTCTGCAGTTATTGTCTCGATTTCCAACTTGTGTTCTTGTTCAATTTCTTAACTCTTCCCTAAAATCCTCCTTGCAAAGTAGCACCTGAGCTTCTGTCCATCTCCACTATAACAGCACTTTTGAAGGGAGCAATACTTCAGCCCTTTCCGCATCTCGCGTATTCGCGGCAAAAATCAGTAGCACGGTCCCTCCTTCTTTTCGCCCATTATCCCCTCCTCTCTCACTTACGTGGCCTATGCAATCGCCAAAAGATCCAGATCATGTAGCCACTTACTCACCCATCCAACTCTTTCCCTTGCCTTCGACCCCTGTGCGCAGAATCCGTACACAGTACCTTCGTTCCACTTGCCTTCATCACCCCACCCGAAGCATCCACCGTCCTTTGCCGCAGTGGAACAAGGAAATCTGAAAAATCGTTCGCAAATTGCGTATGGCGTCGGCCAACCCGAGCCGCTCCGAGTTTTAGTAGTTGCCGCAAGTGTAAAGTAGAAATTATTTATATATTAACGACCTGATGGCTTCAAGTTTAGTGCAAAAACGCATGATCGCACCGGTAAGACTTGTCATGCGTTATGTTATGTTATGTTAAGACTTGTTATGTTATGTCTTGTTATGCGTTAAGTCAGTTTCGTCGTCACCAATCATATCTTAATATTACCGATTGTGCCCCGGATAATTGCTAAGTACTAGGCGGGAGTGTAATTTTAATGGATTTTTTTTAAAATATCAACGGAAACATCTTCTACTCAATCCGGAAATCTGAAGTGTTTACTTTTTTAAGCAAAAATGAAACTCTAGCTGTGTGCCTGTCACAGAGCTGCATTAAAATGAGCATAAAAGTTCGATCAGTAATCCTAGTCCATTTGCTTTCGGGGCATTTATTGCAGCAGTGACCTCTGGAAATATTTTTATCTTGTTTCATGCAATAAATGCCGTTCTCGCGCGTAGGAATGCATTTGCATCAGTTGTACAGGCGTCGCTACTAATAAGGGAAAAGAAAGCTTTATTGAAAAGACACATCCCATACTAACTCCTAGAATTACTTCTCCCAGAATTTACCGATTTCACTTGTGAGTTACTAGTACGCAATCCGAGCAGTTCCAAGGTCGAATACGCTCGGCAGCGAAATTCGTCAGTGTTTGCTAGTCCGGTTTCCACCATCAGTTTTCGGCAATCATGCAGAAATGGATCCGACGAAGCAGCCATCTGGACAGATAATTTCCTGGGGCCTGACGCAGCGTAATCGAAATCGAACATCATTGAAATAGCCGGCGAAGGCGATGGGCTGGTGCCCGCTGAGGATGCCATATCTGATAATCGTTTCCAGTCCGAACTGCTGTGCGGGGTAATCAAGATTTCTGGCACAAATGATACTTGCGACCTGAATCAAATCGTGCATGCTACAAGTTCTTGACACTTATCTCAAATAAAGGAAGCACTGTTTAAACTGCACTAGGAGAACAGTCAGAAATAAACTATTTGTTATTTCTTATACTATATGGTAATTGTGTGCTAACAATCAGTAACAGAAAAAGAATAATTGAATAAATACCACGCCATCGAGATGAACCTTCTCCGAAGAAATAGTAAAGGTGGTTTCAAACCATCTGAATTCATTATGCGTTTTTACATATAGGCAAATGCAACCCAGGCTGGAACGCACCGGGCGGGCCCGTGCGATCATGCGTTTTTGCACAGGAATTGAAGTAC